AATTCCTGCTCTAAGTGGGTCGCTCTGTCAGCTAAAGGCATGTTCTACAGTCTCTATTCTCCAGCTAACGATTAATTGATAACTAGATTAGGTGTCGATCAATTAATCCCATTAATTGGGATATTTTGGGTCCGGTTCTGGGGAAGAAACGTGGTTCTGATGGTGATTTTTCCTGATTGTCGTTGAACATGTGAAGGAAACGAGGTGGAAAGAAAAACAGAGGAAGACGGTAAGAAGCAGCAGACAGAGAAAAGGGGGTCGCTCTGTCTCAGTTTTTAATGGGAATTTATTAATAGATTTTCAGGGGAAATGAAATGTTTCTAATATTACCGTTCTACATCCTTCCATCTTAAAGCGTGTGCTCTCAGACAGGCCGCTCTCCTCCGTCTATTTCCTGTTCCTCCTCGCCGCAATCCGTCCAGGCGTTAAAACTCTCCACAATATTTAGGCAGCTTCAATTCAGCGTCATTTAAAAACCAAATAATTAATAGAATTATTTCACTTTATTTTCAGTAAAATTAAGTGAAATTATATTTTCGGGGCGTCTCCACTCTGTTGGTTTAAGGCTTTATAGGGCAAGTTACTGTTTTTGATCACTTGCATCCCCCATACAAACAGAGCCCCCCCATCCCTCAGTGAGATCTAGAAGCACAAGATCTATATCAAGCCATTCAGCAGCATGGCTTGATATAGATCTTGTTGCTGCTACATGGCTGTACATCTTATTTTGGTATTTGACCAATTAGATGAGCGCTTGAATGACTTATTTACTACCGACTGTAAATTAAGTCTCAAAAATGTCTAGAAGTTAAGGAAAAAAAAGTATAAAGCTAAATGAAAAAGTTAAAAAAGTAAAAAATAAAGTGCCTGTTTCAGCATTAATACTCTAAGCTATTAGAGACTAAATGTTTTTCAGGATTGTTTTATTGGAGCACTTTAGTTATTTTTATTAATATATCAGGGCAAGTGGCCGTTTCTTTTTATTACGTTGACATTAAATCATTTTTGCCATCAAAATATTCGGGCTGCAAATACGATTATTTTGGAAATCAATTACTATGTCGATAAATTTTGAGATTAATTATCAAATAGGTTCCTTAAAGAAGACTTTTAACAAAATTAAACTAAAACTGGATAGAGAAGATTGATAGATGAATTTTTGTTTTTTTTATATCTGAAATGCAATTGTTTACAATTTTATTATTTTGTAGAATTACAAACAAAAAATTGACAGAAAAAATTGTCTTTTTATCTTAAATGTAAAATATTAATATTTTTTTTCACAATCTTTGTATAATTACTTCTCTAATTGGGTTACTCTGTCAGCTAAAGGGATATTTTAGAGTCTCTATTCTCCAATTAACGATTAATTAATGACTAAATTCGACTAAATTCAATCCAGTTTATTTCTATAGCTCCAATTCACATCATGTCATCTCAGGTCACTTCACAGCTCAACCAGATCATCCAGTCAGATTGATTCAAAGTTTTCTATCTAAGGAAAACCAGCTGATTGCATCGACTCATTGACACTTCAGCAATCCCTCACACTAAGCATGCTTGTAGCGACAGTGGAGAGGAAAAACTCCCTTTGAACAGGAAGAAACCTCCAGTAGAACCAGGCTCAGTGTGAGCGGCCATCTGCTGAGGCCCACTGGGGTTCAAGGAGACAGAAGCAGACATAGAAAAAGAAGCATAGATACAAAAGGCAACTGTCAACCAGCTCCACAGGCGGCCCCGTCCAGGAAACACACAGCCAGGCAGACGAGCTCCGAGCCAGCTCCCATGTCAGAGGATGAAGAGAGCACATCCAGTTAGTCACAGTCAGAGAAACAGGACTACACTGGAAAACAGGCCAAGCTCCAACATCTAGAAACAAAGGTGTTGATGGCAGCAGCACAGCTGATATTTCTCTCCAGGATGGAGTCACAGCCAAACAGGAACAGACCAGATGAAGCTACTATGAGAAAAAGCAGAGAGAGCAGAACGTTAGAGATTGAACTAACAGATTCTGCAGAGTGGGAGAATAGAGATAGGATGAAGCAGAATGATGAAAAAGGGGTCCCTATGTCCTCCAGCAGTCTAAGCCTATAGCAGCAAATTAGTTGACGATTATTTCACTAATCGATAAAACCCATTTATTGTTTCAGCTCTACAAAGTAGACAGATTTTTTAATGTTGCAAATGTAATAAGGTCTTATTCGTCCTCCAATAACACTCTTAGCTTCAGTTGGGGGCCACCATGCAGCTGAGCTTCCCTCTGAATGTCGGTTTTCCTCCTAGGAGGTCAGCAGACAGACAGACAGACAGACGCTCGGTGGTGCCAAATGATTTCAGAGGCCTGCAGGATCCCAGCTCCTTTCCTGACACCTCTGACACCCTAACCTGTCTTATTTTTCACTGCATCAGGTCTGATGTTCTGTATTCACAGCAGGGATGAACAGATTTAATTCAATGTTTCTATCTCTGCTGCAGAGTTTTTATTTTCTATAAATAGAAAAACACAAACACTTCCCAGTGGATGAACGCGGTGCCGAATTCCTTTCCTGGTACCAAGCAGCTCGTCTCTCTCTGCTCTCTGTGAAATCACTCACCACAGCGCTGCTTCTCCAAAAATAACACTGATAATTAATTTCCGCCGTGAAACGATTCATCAGTGAAACTGACTAGCTTTCATATTTCACCCTGCATCGATCCCAGAGCCCACTCGCGTGCGCTTCATTAGTTAAAGGGAGCGCCAGGGAAAACAGAGGCAGACGGAGAAAGGCAGAGTTAAGTCAATTACCGCTGTTTGATAGCGCTGCGGAAAAAAAAACACAACCAAAAAAAGGCCAAACACATAACTCACAGCGGAGCTGACATGTAAAGGGGAAGTGATGAGCTGCAGAGTTGGTGCTGCTAAAGCAGCTCGTTTTATGAGGCTCAAACTACATGTAGGTTTTACCTGATTTTAGCTAAAGTGATGGAAAAAACCCGGATCCTCTGGGTCTGACAAGGGCTCCACTATGGAGTAACTTTTGTTCCATTATTTTTTTAAAGAAAACATTTTGTAAACAGAGATATGGGAGGAAGGAAGGAATGAGAAACAAGACTTACACACATTTTTATTGAAAATATGTTTTGAGTGCAACTCTGCTGTTCTCTCAGATCTTATTTTTATATTTTCTTTTTTGTCTTTTTTCAGAATTAGTTTGGTTAGATTTGAAATGAAAATTTAAAAAACGATAATCCAGAAAGGGAAAAAAATATAATAAAAAAAAAGGTTTAAATACTAACTTTACTGTTTTCTCAGATATATTTTTTTAATTATTATATTTTCATATCAGTTTTTTTATTTTATCTTTTTGAATTTCCTTCTTCTGGACTATAGAAGATTATTATTGGTTAAGATTGAGCTTTTCATTTGGACTTGAAGAGAGAGTGAAATTTAAGTTGGAAAAATGATCTCAATCTAAAAGGCAGAAATAAAAAAAATTACAAAATGTTAAAAACTGTTAAAATAACAAATTCTAACAAATAGCAAAACAGTAAAGTAACTCTTAAAACCTTTTTTTATAATTTTTTTTTTCTAGACTGCAATTAGTTTCAAATTTCTGTGCGCAAAACGTTTCCCACGCAACAATAAAGGAACTAAATTCATTCCATACTCTGCTGGCCGGCTGGTATGGATCTGAGTCGTATTGTTTTACATTCATTTTTTTTTTTGTCATAATATGAGGGAAAATTTTGTCATTCAATATCAACTTTTATTTTTCCAGATCTAACTAAGATTTATAAGTTAATAATAATTTTGACCTACTTCTGACTCCATAGTCTGGATTTTGGTTGGGACCCCATTTAAAGGGAAAACCAGCTCCATCTACATCTTAGCCGTATCGATGGAGCTGATGGACAGAAACCTGTGAGATCTTCATTAAACCGTTATTTTATGTTTTTATAACCGTCGACCTCCTGTCCCTTGTCCCCCCCCACACAGGTCCTCCGTCTGCACCCGTCCGCCTCATCTCCAATGTGAACGAGACTTCTGTGAACCTGGAGTGGAGCCCCCCTCTGAGCTCCGGGGGCCGCCAGGACCTCACCTACAATGTGGTGTGTAAGAGCTGCGGCTCGGACGGCCGCCGCTGCCAGCCCTGCGGAAACGGCGTCCACTTCAGCCCCCAGCAGCTGAGCCTGAAGGGGACCAGGGTGTCCATCAACGAGCTGAAGGCTCATACCAACTACACCTTTGAGGTGTGGGCGGTGAACGGCGTGTCGCCTCAGAGCCCGGGGCCGGAGCAGGCCGCGTCGGTGACCGTCACCACCAACCAGGCCGGTAAGAAGAATTCAGTTTAAATTCATAGTAGGGAGTCTTGTAATGTTACCGACCGCCATAGATGGCGCAACTGTCCGGTCAGGATTATTTCCAGGTTAATGGATCCAGAATGAACTTCCTGTGTTTCTGTTAGTGACTCTAAAATCTGGATAAACTCCTTCAGTTCTTCTAAATTAGCCCGTTTAGCATGCTAATGTCCTAGCAAAATAACATTACGCTACAGTGGAGGACATTATGCTAAACCTTTGTAACATGTTAGAAGACAGGCTAGCAGTTAGCAAGGTAGCTGGAGAAGCTTTATGAGGGAATGACCTCCATGGAACCAGAACTTGTTTAAAAGTTATGCTAACAGAACAAAGTCTCTCCCAGCTCTAATTGCTGGATCACAGTAACCACAGAGCTAGCTCACAGTTAGCATTCACGTCATTCAAACAAAGGTAAATAGAATGACAGTAAAGCTCTTTCCCACTGAAAATAGCGGGCTAATGCATGTTTTTCAAACACGAGTCAACCCGCTAACAATCGGCATCTGGCTCCTTTCCCATTGGCTAATAAAGCTGGTCTAACCGCGGTGACATCATCTAGCAGGGTTAGCGCTGATGATTTCCCTAGTGGGACAGAAATCAAGGTAGTAAACAATGGAGAGCAGCATGGAAGGAAGCCAGGTTGTAGTCAGTGTGCTTTATTGTTTCTCTCTATTATCTGTCTGAATCCCTCTCACCAGAGCTGCTCTGGAAACAGTTTTTTCTGCTTGTTAGATCAGAA